CCAGGGCTGCTGGATCCTGGACCCACCCCACCCCAGCTGTAGGGGAGCAGACAGCCAGGGTGCCCCGACGGCTCCGGTTGGATCAGCCCCACTGTGCCGGGTGGGTCTGGCTACAGTCCCTTGCCCTAAGCCATGGGCGGGTAGGGAGCTGTGGCTGTCCCCCTCTGGCCATGCAGGACCCTGGCCGGCCGGCAGCCCTCCTGGGCTGGTCTCGGTTCCGGGGTGTGAGCGCGGCGGTCCTGGGTCTGACGGCGCCTGCCCGCCCCTCTGCAGTACACGGTGGAGGTGCCGGAGAACGAAGCGGGGCTGGAGTTCCTGAGGCTGGCGGTGACGGACATGGACGAGGTGAACACGGCGGCCTGGCGAGCCACGTACACCATCGTGCGGGGCAACGAAGGAGGCTTCTTCACGGTGGCCACGGATCGGGAGACCAACGAAGGCGTCCTGAAAACAGTGAAGGTGGGTCTGAGAACGGGGCCTCGGGGGCAAGAGGAGGAGCCAGGCTGGCGGCCTCGGGTGCCCTGCGGGAGAAGTGCCTGTGTCCAGCCCAGGGATGTTCTGCAGCCCAGCAGTGTGCGTGGCCTTGCCACGGAGCTACGGATGAAGCTGGTGGCCCCAGCACTGCAAGGGGAGCTGCCCAGCTTCACGGTTCCTCCTTGTCCCTCCTAGGGCCTGGACTTCGAAGCGAGGAGACAGTTCGTCCTCTATGTGGCAGCCACCAACGAGGAGCCCTTTGTCGTGAAGCTGCCAACCTCCACGGCCACCGTCACCGTGGACGTGAGGGACGTGAACGAGGCTCCCGTCTTCAGCCCGCCCCTCAAGACTGCCCAGGTCTCGGAGGACGTGCCCGTCGGGCAGAAAATCACCTCCTACACGGCTCAGGACCCGGACAAGATGCAGAGCCAGACGATCTGGTGGGTGGACGGGGGCCAGTGCTCCTGGGTGAGGAGACCACAGGCGCAGGGCTCTGGGCCTGGAGACCATGGGCAGAGGTGCCTCTGGACTGCCCCTTGTGAGCACACAGTACCCCATGGCCCTTGGCCCCCGACAGGCTGGCACAACAGTGCCTTCCAGAACCCCTGGAGCTTGGGGCCTGCTGTGCAGGGGTGGGGGAGCGGCGCTTGGGGCACAAGGCCCCTGTTGGGGGTTCCGCAGAGCTGAGCACCCCGGTGCTGCAGCATGGATCTCAGTCACGGGTGCTGAATCCGGCCCTTGGGGAGCTGGCAGAGCCCCCGGCCCTAGCGCCTCGTCTGCCCCGCAGGTACCGCCTGGGGAACGACCCGGCCGGGTGGCTGGCGATCGACCCCGAGAGCGCCATTGTGACGGCCCGGGAGCCGCTGGACCGGGAGGCGGGGTTCGTGAAGAACAGCACCTACACGGCCATCGTGCTGGCGGTGGACGACGGTACGGGCTGCGCCGCGGGCCTGGGGCGGGCCTGAGCGCGCCGCTCTGCCATCAAAGGATCTTTGTTCCGGCGCTGTGATGGGGCCCATGTGAGAGCCATGTGCTGAGGCCACGGCCCCGGCTGTCACGAGACACCACGTCCAGAAATAACCCCGGCCCTCCGCCCTGGGGGAGGGGAGTGACCCTGAGC